CAATCATCGTGTATTTCATGTAAAGTTACTTTCATGTACAAAGTCTTACTTTGTGCATGTTATCATTTGCATTTGGATGCAGCTAATCACACATGCAGCACATATAAATGGTGTCCATCTGCTTTTGTTGTTACTGGATCTGTATGAAATATGAGTTGAGCCTGTTTGTGATCCACTCAGCATTCACCTCGTAGTAAATTTGTTATCCCGGCCTTCTTGTCTGAGCCTCGGTGGACCTCTGTGACAACTGAAGGAGAGTTAACTGCAGTAGACGGTGGACAAGAATTAAACATAAGGCAGAGATTGTCATCTAAAAGGAGGCTAATCGTGTTTGTTTCACTACGCTGCTACTGTCCAATCCTGGTCCTCGAGAGTTCTTTTGGTCCGACATTAACTCACGGTGCTTCATTCATCACTGGCTGTTTCAGTCAAACCTTGGAGGCTTACATCATGCACAAAATTAGTTGTTCCCATCGTGTAACTGAGAGTCTACTTTTTTTTGTGTGCTGAGAATAAATTAGTATCATGAGCATCTGATTGTGAATCAGAGTCTCTGGACTTACTGTTTTCAAGCAGTTTTAATGATCTATGAAGGTCTTTCCTTTGTCATTGTGCTTATGTGTAAAAGGCCCATTTATTCACTACTGAATAGTTGTGAAAGAGATGCACTGAGTCAGGATCTCAGGGCCAATGCCAATTTCCAACTTGTGTACAACTCTCTCCGGTTTTTGATGGCTCTGCCTCAGCTCAAGAACTCTAACTAACAGAATAACAAATTCTGAGAAACTTGGTGCTGTTGATTTGTTTATGAGGGTGGAGTGGGGGTGTCAGACCCCCACTCCCTAGGAAAAACTATTTTTGTGTTTCAGATTTGCTGATCATTGGGTAAGTGAGTCGTGTGCAATTTATTTATATATTGTCCTCACTCACGAGATAGAATACAAGTAAATGGTGGATAAAGCATTTTACATTTTCCCTTTACTGCAAACACCTAGGCTTAGTGTTCCCAGACTATTTATGATCAGTTGTCCTAACCTATGTGTAGTTCCATCTTACTTTGCTCTGGTGGTGGCCAGCTGATTTTTGCTCGAGTTCGGTAGTGATTTGGTTTGCACAAATCACTATTTACATACTTTGACTAAGAAACAGCTCCTCATCATGTCTCATTCATGTGCTGACAACTGATATGAGACATGACATGACTGCTGGCAGGCTAAGATTTTGTTAATTAAACAATAAGAGTGGGATGCCTGCTGGTGCAGCTGGAGTGTTCCTGTTTATCAGCCTGGCTGTATAATTCTTGTATATTTCTGATTCTTTACATAAAAAATAAATCAAGAACGTTGACTGTTGGACAGGAGCACTGTCATATAGCTCCTTCATATTGATTCATATACATACGACACCTCATTATGTCATATAAGCATATACACCCTACTGGACGTTAGCCAGCTCACAGGCAAATGTGAAGGGCCACCCAGGTGTTGGTGATGATCCTGCAGTCCATAATGTGCAGTAGACCTTGCCAAGTCTGCAAGTAGCCCAGTTTAATGGAAACTATCAAGCTTCTCTCTAAACTGTGTGTAACGGGTCCCAGGAGTGGTAACTGCTGTCACAAATAGGTTACCTGTATAAAGCAGGTGAAAGCAGAGTACTGAAGACAGGATGACTGTTTCCTTCATTTATTTACAAACTCATGAAATTATAGTCACACAGTTCATTTCTGTTACTCCACTTCAGTTCCTTATAATTTAACTACCTAGAGTTGCTTCTTACAGCATTCTAGTCAGAACATATATTTCATTTTAGGTGACAACACATTTCTACTGTTAATTACTTTAAACTGTCACTCTCTGTAAAAAGAACCTCAATGTGAACTGTTTGCAGTGTATCACTGAATTAAACCATAGCATGCTTAAATCATAGCGTGGTATCCACAATCAATTGTTACCAATCAACCATGTTCTCTGTAAAACAGACTACTGAAATAAATTGATACAAATGTCCATGTGTTATATGATCTTACAAACATCAAAACAGGAAATTATTAACAGGATTAAACATTTAAACTTTGCCACTCAGTTAAACTATTCTTATAAAACACACTCTTTGCTTGTCACTGTTTGTAATACAGTAGAAAAAGTTTGCCGAATACAATCATATTCCTTTTAATAACGCTGAGACTCCCATATATATATACACACACACACAAACACACACACACACACACACACACACACATATATTATATATATATATATATATATATATATATATATATATATATATATATATATATAAGTTTAAATGTGGCAATCCATTTAATGGGTGCTACATGTGTCTTGGTTCATTTAATTTATTTTCTCACTCCATAAATTGCAGCTATTCTTTTTTACCAGCAGCATATGGTGTATCCAGGGCTTCTGGTTGGGGAACTTCTTAAATGTTGTAGTTGAAACGATTTCATGAAAGGTGTGTGCTGATGTACCCAGTCACATTAATGCTACAGTCCTTCAAACTGACAGAAAAAATATCCAGAGTTGCTGCAGTTTTGAACACATTGAATCCGTTTTGGCAAAACCAAGCTGCAGGGTGTTCTGCCGTGTGAAGATGTGGTTTGATTGTCTTGGTCTGTTAGCCCATCACAGGAACAAAGATGTATGGTCCATGTCTCTAGAGTGCGGACAGGGCATAGATTGCCCTGCAAGCATCTCATGTGTCTTTGTAGATATGATCCTGTGCCAAACTGCACATTGGCTACCAGAAGGCGGGTTAGGGGTAGTCTGTTTTAGGGCTAGCATGCAGAGCCCGTCTGTTTTAGGTAGCATGATATGAAAGGCAAACAGCACAGACATGAAGAAAAGGATTTCTGTGAGTACAGAAGAAACAAACATGTCCACCTCGGGGGTGTGCCACGACAATGAATAAAAAATGCCCCAAAATGTCAATAGACTAATAATCTAAATGTCACACTTCTTATGGAACTAGAGGTACAGTACCTGCCTTTAGCTTCCACTCGTTTCCTGACAGTCTGACACATTACCTCCATCAAGATTTTATTCTCTCTTTTTTTCTAAATCAGCCCTTAAAATGAAATGTCCTGAAGGGAAATTGGTCTTGCTTTGCTTTGTAGATTAATCCTATCAATAGTGTCTGTAGTCACTCACTGAAATGCATTTGGCTGAAAATTAAAAATGTAGCGCCTCAAGATAAAGGGTTGATGCCTTTCACACACGTCTAAAATAGCATGGCACAAAAGGAAAGACTAATGAAATAAGTGTTAGTTAGAATGTGCATTTTTTTATGAAAGGTGAACGGGGGTATTTTTAATTCTGAAGTTAAGATAATTATAAAAATTGTAATCTGTGTTATTCATGATTGAACTGAAACATCTGCAGGGGGTGATGGGGTTTTTTAAGTGAAGGTGTATAAGATTTTACAACAGAGAACTGGAAATGCCATTCATCCATCAATTCATTATTATAGGCTTATCCGGGGTCGGGTCGTGAGGGCAGCAGCCTAAGCAGGGAGGCCCAGGCTTCCCTCTCCCCAGCCACTTGGGCCAGCTCTCCCGGGGGAATCTCAAGGTGTTCCCTGACCATCTTAGGTGTGTTCTTGCTGTGTCGTGGTTCTAATTCCATGCTGTCGTTCTTTTTAAAACACAGAAACAGTTTTGTTTACCTGTTTTGTCGCCACGTTTCGCCGGCGCCACCATCAGCGTCAGCCTGAGGAAGGCTGCAGCCGCCGGCAAAACGTAGCGACAAAACAAACGGTTTCTGTGTTTTAAAAAGAACGACAGCATGGAGTTCCCTGACAACCGTGAGACATAGTCCCTCCAGCGTGTCCTGGGCCACTCCTACCAGATGTCTCCTCCTGGTTGGATGTGTCCAGAAAACCTCAGCAGAAAGGCGTCCAGGAGGAATCCTAATGACTTTGAGCCCCTCCTGGATCAGAATCAAAATCAGAAGGGTTTTATTGCCATGTGTGGAAGAAATCACAACATTAGGACATTGCTGCGGTACTTGGTGCAAAAAGAAAGGTCAAAATAAGAGATAAGCAAATATAGGACGTAGGAATATAATCATGATAAAATATTAATATAAAGTGGCAATAATTAGAGAAGCGGCTACTACATACACAGTGTAGGTATTGATCCGAGTGGATCAGTTCAGGTGCCAACACAACACGTGACTGGGACCAAGCGACTGGAGTGGGCAGCCCTAGGATTGTCATTCATGAGTCCAGCAGCAAAGGGGAAGAAACTGTTCTTGTGGCGAGAGGTTCTGGTCCGAATGGATCGGAGCCTCCTGCCCAATGGGAGCAAGTCAAAAAGACAGTGACACGGGTCAGCTGCCTGACATGGATAACAGAGGGAGAGCCCAGACACCCTGCAGAGAAATCTCATTTCAGCCACTTTATCCAAAGTTGCATGCTGATGTGTTTACAAAACTACAGAAGAAATCATCATTTTATTTTGGTATATTTAGTCAGTGTTTTATGGTTGAAATGTGTTTTTTAAAGCAATTAGTTCAGGGGTGTCAAACTCATTTTAGCTCAGGGGCCACATTGAGGGAAATCTAGACCAAAGTGGGCTGGACCGGTAAATTAAAAACAACTTCAGATTGTTTTCTTTGTTTTAATACAGTCAATATAAAACAAGGCTGGAGCCTGAGGACAGGGTGTGATTCAAGTTCTTGTGTGAGCCTTGAGCGCAGCTTTGTTTTATTTATACTCATTACAGAGAAAACTTGCTCACAAAGATACATTTATTTTCACTCTACATTGTAAAGTATGAAAATAAAGTTTACACAACCATTTCGCGGGCCGGATTTAACCTGCTTGCGGGCTAGATCCGGCCCGTGGGCCGCATATTTGACAACCCTGAATTAGTTTAACTCAGTATGAGAAAAAAAAGTTGTATACAAGTACTATAGGCTTTCTGATTTGTGTGCGTGTGTGTGTGTGTGCGTGTGCCTGTGCGTGTGTGTGTGTTTCTTCAGACAGGATTGTTCAAGTTCTCTGAGGAGGAGTTTTTCATTCAACCTCTGGAAAAGTTGGATGATGAGATCTCAGCACCACAGGCCCATGCCATCTACAAACGACACACGTCTCCTCCCTTCCAGGGTCCAGTCCTACAAAACATCTCAGGGAAACAAGCTCTCAACGGTACCTGTGGAAACCAAAGTAAGTTGATACTCCTGCTTTATATGTATGCATGCATTTAAATTTGATATTATTCAAATTTCACCTTTTCTTGTTTACTGGATTAAAACTGGGTTATAACGCCATTGAATAGGACACGTGAGTTAGTAGAGAAGATTATGCAGATGGCGACCTGTGCCCTGATTACTCCTCAGGTACTGAATTCATAACAGGAATGATGATTATGTTTTTTTTTTTTTTGTCTTTCTCATGAGCTTGCCTCAGACTTATAACTGGCACCGGTCAGGGGAATAAAATGTAGCTGCTGATGAATTAGCTGCTTTAAATTCTGACCTTTTGGAGCTGATGCAAAATGAACCTAGAGTTCAGAAAACACTGGGGAGTTTTTTTGTAAATACATTGAATGTAATGCCAAATATAGGTCGAACGCTTCAAAGATATTAAATAAAATCAGTGTTGCAATGTAAATGTTGACAAACGCTTGAAAGAAAACCCTTGTTTCTATTTTTTTGTTGTTTTTTTGCTTACCTAGAATACTTGAACTATACACAGTCAGAAAATGATTAAATCAACAAAATAATAAAAATAAAACAAATGTTTTTAAAATTCCTAGAAGCTCTGACAATTGAAACAATTATTTTCCCCATTTACATTCCTTTTTGGTTATTCTCCCACAGTTTATTTTCCTAAACTGTTGACTTATTTATGAATCATTTAAAAAAATCATTTCCTTTGCACGTTTTGCATATCATTTTATCTTTTTATACATGTAGAAAATGCAAGCTGGTAAGCTTCCTGTCATGTGTTTCCAAAACAAGGAACAACCTGGGTTCGAACCATCCATCATAATTCTGAATGACCCGCTCTAACTCCTATTCCTACTTGCTATAATATAGAAATAATTATGTCGGTGGAAAAACAACATTTTTACATAGCTGGCACTAAAACCAACAAAAGACGCATGTGACCGACGAGAATCTGACATTTCATCATGGCTGATCTGTGGTATTTGTGGATTTAACAGAGCATGCACTCTGGAGGGAACGCATCCTCCATGAGCACACTGATCTTCCCAAAGGAAATCCTTCTGCTATGTTGTGATTTGGGACCCATTGTGGAGCATCAGATAAACCGCACAAATCTGATTCCAGATCATATTTTATTTTACAGCTACGAGAACGCCCAAGAATCTCCTCAGCTTCCCGATCTTACATGCCGCGTTGTCATGGTAATCAGACTGAATGACCGTTCAGAAGAGGCTGCACTCTCAGACATTTCCTAATAAAACTTAACTCCAAACAGAACGACTCCTTAAATGTAAAATGTAAATGAAAACTCAATGATTTATCATGCTGATTCTTTTGCTTTTTCCTGACTGGTACCTCTTCTCCTCTGTAACTTGTTTTGTTCTTTTGTGCGTTAGCAGTTAGTGTTTCAGTCTCGCTGTCAAAAAAAAAAAAAAAAAAAAAAAACAGGGAATCCCCTCACATACTGAGGATGTAGCGTGACCACATGGGGTTAACTGAGGGCGTTTCTGTATGTAAATGACCGGGTTCATGAACACCTGGGTTCGCAGAGGTGGGATTTATCATCAGATGGTTGCAGAGGAACGTGCGTACGAGAGACCACTGCATGTTTCATAAATCAGGATTTTGGCTGTTCGTACACACATTCTAAATTTCATTCATTGGAAGGAATTTTGGAGAGTTTCTACTAACGATGGATAAATGAGGGCCCTGGAGTATAAGAGTTCCTTCTCACATAAAAAAGCTCCAGACTGACACTTACACTTTTAGAGATTTATTAAACCACTGAGGAATCCTGATCAAACAGGTTTGTTTTTGTTTTCATCACACAACCACAGTAGTTATGTGTTATTCTCACAGTTTGACAAATTCACACAAAACACATCCACCAGTTACAAAGATGGTTTTGTAACTGCTGATTTTTGTCAATCCTTGATGCATTTCTTAGTTTTAATGGTTTTATTTAAAGTGTTTCTGCTTATTTTCACTTTGGAAAACAAATCCAGTTTACCTTAAGTTAGTCTGTGAGCAGACTTTAACCTTCTTCCAACACGGATGCTGTTTGTGATTAGTTGAATATTACTGTATGTAGTAAGTGCACTAAAACACCAGATACAGTATAATGATGTATTTCTCCATTTATCAACTTTCTGTGAATGGCTCGTCTTCACTTGTCATCCAGAATCTTCTGGTGCTGCTCCTTAACTGGTAAAAGCCATTAAACTCACGGAACAACAGTGACTACGTTTACATGCAGCCAATATCCGGGTTATGATCGGGTTAAGGTTGGCATTCGGGTTTCTGAGTTGATCAGAATAACCCGTTTACAAGCACAAATAGAAAGAGTTACCCCTAACTTGCATAACCCGATGTAAATGCGGACGTTGGGGTAGTGTCAGGACGTGTGGACTACGTCCAGACGCAATATGCGTCATTTCCGGTTCTTCTCGTTCCGGTATCCGTGAAAACAACAAAATTTTTCCCAGTTCGGAAGAGATAGCAACCGCGTTTGTTTGCGCCTTAGTTTCCTCGTCACTCCGAAAGTGTGGTGCTGTGCCGCGACTCGCCATGTTGCTCCCAACTTGTTGTTTACTTCCGGTGTTCTGGCGCATACAAGACGTCTCGCTACTCAAAAGACCAAGATTCCTTGTGAACAGAGCATGCGCAGAACACACGCTTTGATGGGGATATCCCGGTATGCGTTTACACGACCAAACATTCGGGTTAGAAAAGGGTTACGCCAGGTGTAGTAACCGGGTTTTTAAAAACCCGGTCATGAGCATATCCGGGTTTCTGGTGGTGTTTACATGGACCTGCGGAACCGGGTTATTGTGAATATTCGGGTTTTAAAAGGGTTACTGGCTGCATGTAAACGCATAGAGTTAGAAAGTGACTTGTTTATAATAAAATGGATTGCAGTACCTACATTTGACCACATGATGTCATTCTTACTTAATTCTCACATATTGCACCGTAAAGTCTATTTTCGCATCTTCAGATTCTCATCACAGTTTTGAGGAAAGCGAGAGACGGCGGGAACGGTGGGAGTACCGGCACCAGAGGAGGAGCAAAAGAGTACGTCAGCGCTCTGTCAGCAAAGAGAAGTGGGTTGAAACGTTAGTGGTGGCTGACCCAAAGATGGTGGATTATCATGGAAGCAAAGCTGTGGAGAGCTACGTCCTGGCTGTCATGAACATTGTGAGTTTGTAGATCTTGATAATGTTTCACCTCTCAAATGTATTTTGTTCAAATGCATTCAGCTCTAACAATTTTTTTTTTGGGGGGGGGGGGGGGGTTGCTCACATAGGAGGTTGATATATTAAAGGTATACTAGTGAACTTTTACATATTTTTACATCATTTTCTTGAACCAGCATGTGCTAAAATGACCCTTTACAGGGTTCATGAACCGTCACTCAGATAGACCCCCATCGCCCTCTGTGGCCAAAATATCGCACTTGCAACTTCAGAGTGCCGGTCCGCTCTGTTGGACTTACACAAAAATTGAGCTTACGTACCTGGCGCGGCAGTCTGCTTCCAGCACATTTCTTGCATGTTTTAGATCGTGAACACAGCTGATTTGTTTAATGGATTAATGAACCGCTCACGTAGACACTAGTGAAGGCTGGGAGACATTTTAGCTGTTAGATCAATGTGTTAAAAAGACAAATGGACAGCGAGGAGATGAATTTTGATTTTGGTTCTACTAAACAGACACTAGGGGGTGCAAAAAGCAAGACAAATCTGCCTAGTCTCTCTTAAAATACTAAAATATAAGTAAAAAGAAACTCACATCAGTTTAAGAAATAATTTCAACATTATCCTGGAGAGTTTTGTTTTTTTGTTTGTTTTACTGTGTTTTGTTGTCTCATTGGAGGACTCTGTTGTTGTTGTTGTTTTAATCACAGCTGCCATAAATGCATGTTGTAGCCCTGTAACTGTTTTTATGTGATTGGTGCATGTTAGAAAAGAACATCCTCATGAATGCCCTGACTCGCCATTTCTCAACTGAACGAGGTCTGCAGCTTCTGCTGGTTTCCCGTTTTCCCACAATGCAACCTGCTGTGTTGTCTTCCTCTGATAAATGAGACGCACATGCATCCAGCTTTTCAAGTCCCAGACGTGTATTTTACGTTTTACCACTGCTCTGGCGGCTTTAGCTTGTTGCTGCAGTGTCAATAAATCTGCTGTTTTTCATTTAGTGGAGTAATCAAGTGCAGATGAATTCACACTTTGAGTCATTTCAAAGCAAGTTTAGATTTTATCTAGCTTGACTAGCTGCAAAGAAAAAAGTGAAATAGGAAGAAAGTACCAAGTAATAATTTTTAAGATTCAGTCTTCTTTCATTAGTACATAGTCTGGCTATAAAAAGGGGGAAATAAGAAAATATCACTTGCAAGGGAAAAAAAAAATCTAATGAACCCTGAATGACTCTGCAGAGTCCAGAGGCTGGTGTTGATGTGACACAGGATTAGTTTACTGTACTGCTGTGACAGTAACGCTAATAATGAGGATTTAAAAATGTGTAGGAAATGAGGAGCAGCAAGATGGAATTACGGAAGACACGAAAGAACAACTCTTTAGTGAGCCCTCTCAAATGCATCTTATATTTTTGGGATGGTGGTGTTTAACACCCTAAACTTCTCAGCAGAAACATCTTATTCCTACGCTGTCAGCGAGGTTCACATCACTGTGATCAAACTCCAAGCTCAAAGATAACCTGACCACCAAAAATACTTTAAATCAACAACATGTGGTGCTGTGCAAAAGGTCTTGAGTCCTCTTTGAATCTGGTCTTGTTCAATAGTTCTTCGGGCTTTCTGAAGGTCTGCCATTATTTTTAACTTTTGACTTTTCACTCTGTGCCAGTCCATTTCCTGAGTAATTTCAGATTCATTGGATAAAGTATGGCTGGAGCTAACTGGTCCTTAGTACTATAATAGGTGCAAAACAAACAAACTAAATAACCTGACGTTTTGACAGTTTATGTCTCTCTCTGAAGAAGACATAATCTGTTGAAACGTCACTTTTTGCAGGAGATCACTAACAATAGTTAGCGAAATGCAACAGTGGCAGATTGTATCCTTGTAACCTGGAGAACCTGGTGGTTGGAAAACAGTCAGGAAGCTAAAGACAGATGAGTTAGATGCATCTGTTATCCACATGACAATCAATCTTTAGGTTCACTCTTAGTTTGCTGATGACATTTGGGGTGCAACAGATCATCATTGTTGGGTTATTTTTTATTAAAACCAGTTCACCTTAAGAGAAGTCAAACGCACAGAGGACAGAGGATTAGAGCAATATTATTGTTCAATTTTACTTTGCAAAGTGGAGAGATGAAATTAATACACACCCAAGCATGGTTCACCAGACCTCTCAGCGAACGTACGTTCTCTGAGGGTATTTATTGCAAGCACACACACATAAAGCACATCACATCACATTCCTAAACTGATCCATCAGGTGGAAAGCTGTTTAACGTAGGGAGTGAAAACAATGTCACATTTCCCTCATACAAAACCAGGTGCATTCAGTCAACATTTTATTTCTCATGGGAGTGTAGCCGATATCACAGAACAGCATGATCTGAGGAAGGTCGTTGTCCTCCCTGGTGAGACGGGAAAGCTGGCACAGGATAACACTTTGCAGTTAATGAAGCAACAGGTGTTTTACTTAAAAAGGCAGTTTTGATTTTAAGCAGTAATGACAGCGAAAACCACTTTTTTCCCTATCAGTTATTGTTCTGTGATCCACACAAATCTCTCTCTATGGTTCTGCACGCACGTGGTCCTCAGACTGGTCACGTGAAGGGCCGAGGCGCCGCCTGTTCAATCCAAACGAGTAAAGCATAGCAGTGGTCATGGTGAACGAGGAGGAGAGGAGCTTAAAAAATCCCTTGCATCGTTTAAGTCACACGTATGGAAGCATTTTGGCTCTCCTGTAAAATACAATGATGAACACTCTCGCACGTGCCTCCAGTCTGACGGTGCAGTGCCGCTCACACGTACACCAACACGTACACGTACCTACCAATCACTGTGAAAGCAGGGAGGGAAGTGGCACGCGCAGAATCTCTTGGACAATTGTTACATTAACGTGGTGGGACCTGAAAAATTGGTAGGGATGAATAAATATAGAAAAATGATGTCATTTCCTGCATTCTGGTGCAGTTGCACAGGTTGTTAAAGGCTCATTTTACCTACAGTATAAAACGTAGAAATGAATTGTAAAAAAACACTAAAAGTGGAAACTTCCACTAAAATTTTGAATGTGTTTATTTTATTCTTGTTGATAAGAATACCAGCAGGTGGCTTTGGACTGAAATTGAATTTAGTGAACCATTTTAACAACCACGCCTCTTTGTTGTATCCCCCATTTTACAAAGCAAAAACATAATTGATCCCAGTCCAAATAGTATTATTACTAGTCTAATTGAAAACACAGACACCAACAGGTATTGTGTTAGGAATTGGAGAATCTAAATAAGTGACGTCATCAATTTGAAAACAAGAACCTAATTGTTCTTACTACCAAAGTTTTTCCTACCTGAAATTAAAATAATAATTTGAATGTAAGTTCAGATATTCAAATAAAATTACTGATAGCTGGATGTTTTTTTCATTATATCTATTTAAAATAAGACGTTTTACTAGTAACAGTTAAATTATGAGTGTTTAAAGTGAGAGTCATTTTAAAAAGTGAGGGGGACACGCCCCCCTGTGACCTAATGGCTCCGACACCTGTATGGTCCACTGTGTCCATGAAGGGGTGGACATATTCAGCAACAATACTCAGGACTGTGGTGTTCAAAGGTGTGAAGGGACTGAAAAAACATTTTTTACTTATTTTTCCTGATTATAATCAGTCACTCAGTATGACTTGCAAGACGTTCATTGCTACTAGAGTCCACTGCAAATTTATCAATTAAATGGGTGTCCTACATCTTTAAGCCAGACTCAAGGGGTTCAAAGTGGGACAAGACACATTTCCCCATACCATTAAACCACCAACAGCAGCCTGAACCACTGGCACAAGGCAGGATGGATCCATGCTTTCCTTGTTCCTGCTGACTCATCAGACCAGATGATGTTCTTCCAGTCTCTCATTCAATCCCTTGTCCAGTTCTGTTGTATTGCATCTTCCTCTTCACAACAGCCCATAGATTATCTATGGGGTTAAGGTTAATCAAGGTCAAGGCTCTCCTTTTCCTCCGGACTCTGAGACATTGACTTCCAAAGGAAATTCTAAATTTACTTTCATCAGAGAACATAACTTTGGACCACTCGGGCAGCAGTCTCGTCCTTTTTGTCTTTAGCCCAAGTGAGATGCTTCTGATGTATATTTGCTCGAAGTACAGGGAGAGG